CGACGACGACGACGACGACGACGACGACGACGACGACGACGACGACGACGACGACGACGACGACGACGACGAGATAGCTAGTGAGTGCGTACGCGCTACTGCTATCTCACTATCTCCACCACTAGTGAAGCTCACAGATTTACTGTGCTTAGGCCGACACTTTGGCGCTTGTAGGAGTGTGCGTTCGCATTTTGAGGGGAGGAGAGAAGAAGGGGCGCTGCGGAGAATCGTGGGGGAAAGTGTGAGTTGTTAGCCTGAGTTGAGCTGAGCTGCTTTGAGATAGCCACCAGATAGGCCATCGTCGTCCTGCCGAGCCCCGCGCCTACACACGTGGATACCGCTGAGAGGGAAGCATGCAAGCCAACGGGGGATGGACGGTAATCAGAAGAAGAAGGCACGACTGCCATCGGTCTGCTCATCCAGGCCGCCGTTCCGATACCGTGCCTCCCTTAAACACCCGTCCCTTGAAGTGCAACCAGCACAATGCTAGCAGCAGCACCGCCAGCTTAGTTGTATGGAGGCTATGAATTGGGGACAAGGCTAACCTGGGCTTAGCAGAGAAATAAGTTGGTTTCTTTGGCAAGGCCACATCGACCCAAGGGTAACGCTGATAAACGCCTAGATATCTACAGCTACAGAAACAGCTATTGCAGAAAGGTAACTCTGGTTGTGCCGACCGACTGCCGCCACCGCCGCTTGCGTGCGAGGGGTCTGTTGTGTGGACCGCCAAGAGACCTACTCGTACTTTTTCTCTCTTCTATGATTTACTACTAGTTATCAAGGTGCATGACGGAAGTCTGAAGACGAGCTAAACTCTATTTAATAATTGCACTTCCACCTCTTATGCCACCATTTGCATCAATTTCTTCAGGATCTTTGACAGTGGTGCAGTCTTTAGCGTACGATATCGCTGCAAGCAGTTACGCAACACTCGATTGTGGACTCAAACCATTACTCCCTGGTTTATCGGACTCGTACCTTCCTCATTATTTAGAGAGTTTCTCAGGATGGGGAACAGTTGCAAATCAGCTATAAAGACGGTTGTATCATATTCGCTCTAGCTTGTCTTTTCATTTACTTAGATATAGCAAACTTCAGTTAAAAAAAAAGTTGTATTCGCTTTAATAGCTTCACATTACTATAAATATGCAGGGTAATTAATAATAATCATAACAGTAACCCATGCTCTTTGGGATACAAAACAGAAGTGAGATGCTGTCATTGGCAACGGCGCATTGGTAGACTGATCACTATACATTTCTCTAGCTAGAGGGAAAAATTTTTTAGACGCTCTGACTTTTTACTATTCTACATGTTTGGGGGTAGCACAAGCCAGTATAGCATAAAGTTACTTTGACGTTGCCACAACGGTTGACGCATCAGTCCGCTTGCTTGACTACATTGCCAAGACTCGTCGGAAGTCGCAACTTCTTTGTTGTGCGTGTGTGTGTGTATGAATGTCGAAACGTGGATGTCGATCGATGCTAGCCGACGGCAAGGGTGGCTTTGTCGCCGCCATAAAAGGAATCCTGGCGACCACCTTCGGCCGAGTCCAACATCTGGAGTTTGGGTGTGCCAAGCCTGTCTATGGGTCTGAGCATTGGACCGGGATCTGAGGAGGACTCTGTTATCGTTGTTGTTGTTGGAGAAGGGAGGGAGCCCCGGTTAGGTCCTACGAGACAACGCCCTAGTCCTTGGTCCCCATGCACTACCCTTCAGCTTCTTCGATAGGTTGGCTGCTTGGTTGGTTGGTGTTTACGTCTCCTGCAGGGTAAGCTGCAGTTTGCGCCTATCCGCTCGCCTGCCTAACTGCATGCCAACTCAGTTTCGCTGACCACTGGCGGCTGGTGGTCAGTAGAAAAGGCTGAAGTAGGTCGGTCGCTCAACGTGTTTAGCGACCATGCAAACCTAGAATAAAGGCACTTTGCTGAACAACTCTTCGCATCCCACGCTGGTTTCTATCCTCACTTCGCATATAGCAGAAATCGTCAAACGAAGGCCCATAACAGCAAGCACGAGCCCTCTAAACCCCTGCAAGCGCTCATTTGAGCTACTGTGACCGCATTTTGCATTGGCCCCATCGAGCTGCTACCGTTGCCCCCATTATCGCAATTACCCCCGTACATATTCCTTTTCTCTACCCCAAACCATTCTGCCTGCTCATCCTATACCGGCAGCATGGTTGGCAGGCGGACATGCGAACGAACGAGGTAGCTTGCTTGAGAACGACCGTCGACTCTGGCAGCTACTGCCGACAGCAGCAGCAACTCGCTACTGCGCGGTGCAAAACGACAGGCGAAGTCCGAGACCACCGCCACACACCCCCAGCTATCCAGCCACATCGCACAAGCAGCTACCGGCTCCACCTTCCGCCTAGCCAAGTGGAATTTTGGTGCTGTAACGGCTGCCGGTGCTGCTGAAGCTTCCGCTGGGATGTTGGAAGGAGAAGCGCGCGGAAAGTGCGCGCGCCAGGGAGAGGTAGAGAGATAACATGCAAGAGCAGAAGAGAACCGACCGAGCCGAGAAGAACAGAGCAAAGAACACGCAGCGGCTCGGGTGGCCGTACCCATTGGTTAAAAGGAGAGCAAACGGGGAATGGAGGGGACAGGCAAGCAGAGCAGCCAGCCAGCTAGCGAAAAAAGGAGCAGACAAGCAGCTACGGCAGGAACGGGGACGACGAAGAAAACAACAACAACAACAACAACGCAGCGAAGGAACAATTGATGCCACTGGAGTAGCCGATAAGTAAAGTGGTAAGAAAAGGGAAAAAAAGACGCGTGCTATCGGGTAGTAGGCTACCGCCGCTGAACACACACAAACATACAGGCGGATGGCACTCGCAGGTAGCTGGAGATCCTGATGAAAGCTAGCAGAACAACTTGAACAGCTGCTACAGCTGTTGTAACACCTACATCTAACCAGCTATGATCGGGCCGATTGCATACGTTTGATCAAAGAGGGATCGAGAACCGCTAGAAGCAATTCGCAAATCAGCTAGCCGGAAACAACATTATATCGTATGATGCAGCTGTCTATGCCCTATGAATAGTTCTGTAGAGCATACATTCTGTTCTCTTTTAACCCATAGTGACAATTCCGTCTTTTCGTGCTGAAACGATCCCCGGCGCGTTTCGGCCGATGGGTTGCGTGTCTACTATACTATAAAGGAGAGAGAAGAGCATAGATCGACTGACCGCTAAATGCTATTGCTGTTTATTGCCTACAGTTTGTCCCTGATAAAATGCTTCGTTTGTGCAATCTAAATTTCTATATCTTCACTTGTAAAAAGTCGTTGTTTTGTTAAACTTTTTATTTTTTTCCACTATTCTTCTTCTCCACCACTATCACAGTTGCTATCGTTGTTTCACGATCATTTGTAGGCATCGATAACACGTTTGCGCATAAAATCATATGATATCTCGTCGTCGACTTGCGACTAATTTTGGCCAGTTATATGCTCAGCCGTAAGTGACCTAAAGTCGGTCATATTGCTATTACTGTTAACGAAGCTGCTTAAGCTCTATCGTTCTTAGTAAAAATTGTCGACCACGACCCAACTGCAATATTCTAAGTGCAACACCTTTGAGTGGTCTATACTTTGTCGAAAAAACAGCTAGAAATGGGTAGATGTTAAAGCTGACATCGAGTCATTGATTTCTTCATGTGCTAACGAAGAGCTTAGCGATTTATAGAACGATTACCTATCGTCAAGTTTTTTTTCCCATACTTGTTGTCTTTTTTTCCATACTTAAGACATCAAGTTGGTAGCCAATGCAACTTGTGAGATGCTGCATAAAATTTAGATTCGACGTTTTGTTCCCGTGATGGTACCTACTAGTAATATGGGCGCATGCCAGCTAGCTCTTCTGCTCGTTTGTATGGATGCTCTTCGAGAAAAAATACTTATGACATTTAATTGGATGTCTAGCCTAGCCCAGAGAATACTTAATAAATTGAGTCATCGTCACCGTCAACCTTGCTAGGCCACTTAGAAACCACTAAATACGAGCTAAAGGTTGTTATGTTTTATAGCAAGCAATTAATGTTCAGACATCTAATACGTGGACATGCAGATAGACGGCTAGACCGTAGAGAAAATGCTCCCTCAAAGAAAAGCCGAGACCTACTACAATGAAAGCAAGATAATAGCGCCAAAGAGGTATCAGTTCTTGGAAGGAACAATTTTTTTTGCCGATGCTAGCTGCTGTTATACTTGTTTTGCCTGTCTGCTCAGCCGGCGATCAGGCTGTCGTCTGTATTTGCGACCAGGATTCGCTCTAGATGACGATAGTGCTACTGGTAAATGCACCGTCCCGATCCTTGCGAAAAAGAGCGCGGCCTCACAAACGCTTTATGGCCAAAGCCACAGAGAACGCATAGATGTAGTTCACCGCGAGTGTGAATGAGTGAAGCAACAACGGTGGCCGATTGGAACGTTATGGGAAAGAAGATGTCCTGTCAGCTACGGAGCGGCGGAGTCGGCGTGCCAGTAGCTCTAGTTGCTAGAGCGCCCCCATGGTGAACTGACAGCATTACTTTAACAGAGGCTTCTACAACAACAACAACAACAACTGCTGCAGTCATTGCCATCACCCACAGTATCATCGTGACGTTGCCATAAGATGGCAAACCTTCAACACTAACCCGCTGCTCACAGTTACTTGTGGCAGTGATCGTATGGCAGTGTAGGTAACCAGCAATGCCAGAACCCCTGAATGACAGCCGGTCGGACTCGCGAAAGCGTACCACGTCACTGACTGGAACAGACCAGGCCGAGTTAAGCTTCCTGGCAGGCGGACTAGCAGTAGGATGGCGGCTGAAAGCAGGGCAGACAGGCGGGCGGTTAAGCAAGCCAGCAAACACACTGACTCGCTAAACAGGATGAAGCTGTTCGGGATGGAGAGAAGCTCGTCTAGCGAGCTAGCTAGCTGGTTGACTGGAGGTTGCCGCTCGACTGGCCCCTAGAGTCACTGGAGTTCCCTCAGCAGCCAGCCAGCCAGGGACCGGCCAGCCACCGACTGCTAGACAGGCAAGCAGCCATCCTGTACTTGGGCCAGCTTGAGTCGGTTGCTTCCGTCCAACCACTAGCAGTAGGCGGCGATGGTGGTAGTGGCTCCTGTGTGCGGCCTGCGACCTTCGGCCGAAACCAGCTTGGTCGTTCGGTTGTACTACTCTGGCTAACGGGTGGGTCTAAACGGGGGTCATGTGTATGGGTGTGTAGGCGTTTGGGGAGTGTAGGATCTGTGTGTTGACGGCAGCAGTAGTGGCGACTCGAAACAGGCGGCTGGCTTAGGCTGTGTCGTGCTGCAGTGGTGGTAGTAGGACCTAGGGAGCACCGAGGGAAGTGAGGGGGTAGTAGTAGTTGTAGTGGTAGTAATAGTAGTAGCGTGTGGGTGGAGACGGACGCAGCTAGCGAGAGGAGGAAAGAGGGGGGAAGGGCTTTAGATCCCGCGACAGATCCCATAGTGGATGGAGCCTTGCCTCAAGGAGGACTCGGCCGCTTTCCTAACTCGAAGCAAGACCCCGAAACGAAGAACGGAGGTCTTAGCCCCCGTCCCCTCTCAGTCCCCAACTGCCTTCCACTTCTCAGCTCAACCCGTTCCCCCTTTCCACCAGGCCAACAGCATTGGGCAATGCTCCCCAAGCAGAGGGCCTTCTACTCCTACTACGGAGCTTGTCTGCAGGACTCACCAGGTTGCCGGTGCGAGCAGCACGGTGAAGCAGGGACTCCTCCAGTTGTTCGGGAACTACGGTCACGGGTCCCGCTGCTGTGATCGGTGCTAGCTGCGAAGGTGAACTCTGCTGCAGTGGTAGGCTTGAGTTCGCAACCGAGGAGGTTGCGGCTGGCTCATCCCACTTCTGTAACACCTGCACGGCTCGCTTTTTAGGCTTTATGTTGGCAATTCCTGGGATACTGGAGGCGATACTGTTGATAGTCTGGCATGCTTCCTCGGGAATGTCAGGTGAAGCTAGTCTTCGTTTTTTCGGATGCAAACTAAACTTGAAATCTGAAATTGCACCAAGATAGGAACTATTAAGAAACCACTGGTAAAAGCGGATCTACTTTATTCTTTTTTGTCAGCTATTATTATTCACCCTAACAGGACACGTACGGCCATAAAGCTAAAGTCATCGCAGAGTTACACCTTTTTTAGTGACAATCCCGGATCACGTATATCTTATAGGCTGATAGTACAATTTCGGTGTCTGTCAACGATATTAGTTGCAACCCAACTACACGTCTTCATGCAGGTCGATACAAGTTGCGTGCTGTATTTAGTTTTTGCGTAAAAATTCTGAATTGCCATATGTATATGTACTGGGTCTGGTGTAAATCGACCCTTGCCAAGATAAACGTTTATATCGTTGAACTGAAGATAATTAGCACAGGTTCGAAAAAGATGATGATTGGTATAGAAAAAAGAACGTAAACAAAGTCCATTGAAGGCTCACGCACTGGTCATGGTGGACCCCCTCGTATTTTGCCAATAGTCGTGGCGGTGGTGGTGAGGGTGGTTTTTGCTACGTGGTGATATTTATGGCAATGCTACTATGCAGAAGGGAGGTTTATTGTTGTTGTAATAAAGATTTCATAATAATAACGTGTCAGCTGCTAGCCGACGACAACCAACGATGTTTCTCGGTCTCGCAGTGTTCTGATATCGATGCACATCGCTAAGCCCTCCCTGATTCCCGTTCGCTCTGAGTGCGGAGTACCGGTGCTCTTCCCCTGTTAGATGCTTCGGTGGCTGCCCGCTCGATGGTTCCACGGCGGGCGTTCTGTCAATCCTGTCTCGTGTCTCAGCTTTCGTCTTCGCTTCCGTCGAGCGACTGCCCTGACTTGAGCTGCCGCTTTGCAAGACCCCAATCGTTGCTTTTCCCTCTGCTGCCTCAGCCATCCTTAGTCCCTTTTGGCTTGTGTCCCCTATCCCATTACTCCCTCCATCCCCTTCACCATCTAACCCCAATGCCGCTTTGTCGCGGCTTCTCCATCCCACTCGCCAGCCGGCCTACTTGCCTGTCTGTCTCGCTGCCTTCACAGTGCCCCATCGCATCACCCCTCCAATCGGCAAGGCAACAGTGATGGCTGAAACAGCAGCAGCAGGAAAGCAGAGACTTCGCTAGCTCGGTTCGTCTTTGCATCGCGACTTGACTCTCCTTGCTGCCCCCGACGTTCCCTCTCCCCCCCGGTAGCTCAGTCGCATGCCCGTCGGCCTGCCCGCTCGCTGCTCGACTCGTCTGTTTTGCTGCTCGCTGCCTCGTTCGCCTGTCGTTTGCTCGCTCGCTCACATACTAGCCACCCCAGCTCCGTTGCAGCCGCCGCAGCTACTACTACCGCCACCGTTGCCGCCGATATCACTTTGTGCACACTCATTGGCTACAGCCAAGCACCTAGCTTGGTTGCTCGCTCGTCGCTATTCGGCTTCCTCGCTGCACACGGCGCTGGGTTTCTCCCGCTGTCTGTTCTGTTGAGATCCTCTTGCACAGCTCTGGCTCTCTTCCCCGACACCACCCATCGACACCCCCTGCCCAATAAGGACGCATGCTGGTAGTGGTGGTGACGGCGACAGCAGCGGTGCTTTGCTGCTACGGGCGCGGAACCTCTCTCAGCCACCCACCTCGATTGCGCCGATTCTACTGCTGAAACTGCTGCTACTGCCGCCATTCCCCCAGCAACAGCAACAGCAGACAAGTAAGCAAGTAACCTCCTCTCGCTCGTCCGAACGCCGCCCGTCCACCCGCATCACAGACAGAAAGACACCCGCCCGCCCGCTTTGCGCGTATAGCGTTTGCTTTGCTGTTGCTCCGTGGTGGTTGCCTGCTGCCGCCGCCGGCCTCACCATTACTGCTGCTTTATGACACCGGAGCAGGGACTCAGTTTCTCGTAGCCCTTATTCGATACTCCAGCAAGAAGTTGCTGTTACAACCACGCGTGTGGCTTGGGGCTGCTAGTCTCCAGAGAGAACGAGCGCAGCGTCACAATGGCAAACGGGCAAGTTAGGAGGACGAGGAAGCTCGCAGTCGACAAGCGCTCGCCGAGCAGACAGGCAGACGAGCTGGCTTCTGCGAAAAATGGGACGACAAGGTGGGGGATCGTCGTCATCGGTCGCTTGCTCGGTCTCTCGATCGCTCGGCAGAGGGTAGGAGGCCGCCGTTGGGACAGGGGTGGGCGGTTCCGTCAAATTATTCGCCTATCTCACCGCCGCCGCCGCCGCCCCCGCCGTCCGCCTGTTACCTCGCTCGGCGCTGCTGCTTGGTTCGCCGCCTGTGTCTCTGCGCCCTTTCTCTCGCTTTCTCCCATCTTTCTCCGCGTCTGTATTTCTCTCTTCTATTCGCTCGGTCCCGCTGGCTGCTTCTCTGGCTCGCCAAAACGGACGGCTCAGGCTTGAGCAGGGTTTCCACGCTCTGCAGACGGGCCGGAGGCTGCTGCTGGTGTCGGAAAGACGAGGACGAGGGATGAAGGGCGAAGCAAGGCAAAGAAAGGATGATGATGCTGGTGGTGGGATGAGACCAGGCCAGCCAGCGGAGTGTCAGGAGCCAACCAGGGCAACGGGGTGCGGGTACTGTGCGCAGTGGGAGGGATCAATGACAAGCCCGCGGAGCAGTCCTAGTGGAGACACAGGAACAACCCGAACCAGTTTCTTTTCACACACGCACACATACGCAGCGCACGGTTGCACACACGCACAGCCACCCAATAGTCGGACAGTCCGTCGGGTCCTGCCTGGTGATGCTGGGAAACAGTATGCGAGTAAAGCTAGAAAGTCCACCATACGCTATCATTTTTGAAGCATGCCCAAAAGCTTTCTGGGAGCCTCCCTGTGGTCTTAATCGAACCTATATGGCATGCCGCTTGGACCTAAGGACTAAGTCCTTGTTCTCTTTTACCCTGTATCATCCGGCACCCCATCAGTCTTGATTTTCTTGCCCCTTTCTGTGTCGGTCAGTCGGTCCGCTCAAGAAAAAGACGATCGATTGACTTCACTACTGCCCTGTTCGCCGGTACAGCCGCCTGCTATACCGCTTCTGCCCATTCCGTAAGCTTTTAGTCTGGCTGCTAGGCGCGCCTGTTTCTTTACTTTTACGCCGAACGTGCCTACCTATGTTCTACAGTAGGTTCATATAATGCTGTTTATGCTGCGACATCGGTATCGGCAGTTGCTACCCGGCCTAATCTAAGGACCATGGCGACCAGAAGCACACGTTGTGGGTTAGGCTATAGAGTCTCCGCGTCATGTCCGTGTACCGGCGCTGATAGAAGCAATGGAGGGATGGGCGCTCCGCCTGACTTACTTCTACTCAGTCACTAGAGGAGAATTTTGGCCCAGGGAGAGTACTTTGTACGCTACTGGTGTTCCTGCTGATGCGCAGTCGTGTAGAGTATTGTCTGTTGACAGATGCGCGACCAGCAGGGCGTTAAGTGCACTCATGGGGACAAGTTCCCGCCGGTCGCCCTCTATCCGCCCTTCCTTTCTCAATGACCCAGCGCGGCTGCCGTATCCACCCCGAGACGCGTCAACGATCGGTCAGTCAGTCATATGGCCAGTCACATCGTTTCCCCCTTATTCACCTTACCCCCCTCCCCCTTCCCCTCAAAGTTCACTCTGATTTCGGCGCGACGCTATCTCTCTGTTGAACCTACCACCAAGATTAACCCGCCATATATATATATATATATAGTGTATATGTCAGTTACCCAGTTAGCGAGAGTTTTGTTGTCGATCCGCAAGCATCACTAGTGGGACCGCGAATCGTACACGCCGATCCGATCTGGCATCTGTCTATAAGTAGTAGTCATAATGAAAGGGAAGGATCTGAGTGCCGCTGATTAGGGTGTCCCGTGATCAACTAAATTTAGTCTTGTTCATATAAGAAGCGCTTATCTGTACATTTACATTAAGTAATAAATGATTATTGGTATTCCTGTATCTGTGTTTGTGTATGAAGGATGTGAATGTGTGTGTGTGTGTGTTCCATATGAAAGTGGGTGTATTAGAATACGCTCGCGACAAAAATTGTTGAACTTGAGATGGACAAAATGATTGCGTTGCACTCCAAAAAACTATACCATCTGTGAGTAGTGCAAATGTAGCGTCCTAATTCATGATGTGGGCAACGCGAATGCTCTCCGATGATGTTCGCCCACTCTCTCCGGACTCGCCGCTAGCCCTAACACATGTCCACCTCGTCATCATGGTCCGTTACTTCTGCCGCTGCTTTCCGGGCGCAGCAGCGAACTTAAGTGTGTGGGTGGCTGCGTGTGTGTATTTCGACAGCGGCGATGGTCGAAAAGACAGCAATTGTATAGCAAGGTTGATGAAACATTTAACGGCTAGAAACGTTGCTGCTATTGAGCCAGTCATCGTGCAATGCCTACGACCGACTCGATCAGCACCTTTGGTGCACCACTCCTTCTCCTTCTCCTCCTCCTCCTCCCCTCCTCCTCCTCCTCCCCCCTTCCTCCTAAATTATTCCAGTGCGCGGTCGTCACTTTAAAGATGCGGCTCTGTTCAGTTGTCTAATAGTTCTAGCGCCATAGCGTAGAAGTGATTTAGCTATTGTGAAGCGAACGTAAGTTCAGTACGTACCTTTAGCCTCCTCATCCTTAGTTGCGCTGCACTCACCGGCGCCTGTGACTGCCTGAAAGGAAGAAAAAACCGAAGGCACCCCTTGAGTAACGCCTGAAACCTGTCTAATAGCCTGGCACCAGTTCTTTAATGTGGAACCAGTGACAAACGGCCAAATTGTTGACACATGCCTTTACAGCCAATGTTCGACTTGTCGGCATGCATCGCATATGCCTCAACCTCTTTTTAGATTTTTCAGCCGTCTCTAGAACCGTCCTACTTCCCGCAGCTTAATGCAGTCTATAAAAATACTTAAGATAGTCTCTCATAGGTGAAAATGAAATTATAAGAAGCGGATGATTTCGTTTTTGTATTGGACTCGTTGGTCTTTTACAGGCAGCCATCGGTGCGCATTTTCTGGGTTTTTAATTCGTCCGCCTACGGTCTTCGCTGACCGCTCTTTACTCTGCTTATTCTTTAAGGATTTGCACAGGTACGAGACAGGACGCCTCTTTGTTTTTCTCGCTCTCTTATTGCCGTTCTATCTGGATATGCCATTAACAATCCTTCTCTCTTCTAGTGCCTAGGACAGTAGTATTTCATGCAAGCGAGACTTGCCTCAATCGCCGCCTCATTCTTCTCGCGCATTCTGAGCCATGGTAATTTAGCTCGTTTGGGGGGTGGCGATGGCGGGGGTCAAGGGTATTGGAGAACGGAGAAAGGGGCCATCGTAGTCCCGTTCCGTCACCCTTGGAGGCCCGTCGGCGTCATCTCACCGCAGAGTGAGAGCAGCTCAATGGGGAAATCCTCCGGCCATCGCGCTGTCCCAAATATATCATGGCGAGCCGCGCGCGACCGATCGTCAGACCACTATCGCCGCCACCTCCATTCGGCGACTTCATAAAAAAAGGCATGATGAGTCAGCTGTGTGGCGACCAGGAGCAGCAGACAAGGCACCAACACCAGTAGTCGAAGGCAGCCTGTATCGCACCATACTATAGCACTGCCTTTGCCGCCCGTTTTACCACTGCCACAACCGCTACTAACGCCATACAGAAAGCAGGCCAAAGCGTCGCAAGGCAACGGCGGTTGGCAGCGGTGCCGCCGTCGGTTCGTTTGTTCGCAGCACTCACTACTATCGCCACGCCACTCCCGTTACCGCCACCGAGGCCGCTAGCTCTCGGCGGCCCTTATTCCCCTGCCCTACATCTTCTCTTCTTCTTCTTCTTCTTTTTCTCCGCGCTTCGCTCTGCTCTGAGCTTGCTTTGCCATCGCCTGCTTTGGCTCTCCGAAAAGGAAACGAACAGGCGCGCCGGCGTTACACCCTCCCCTCCCTTCCCCTCCCCTCCCCTTCCTACCCCTTCCCGATCCACACTACACAGAGCAGAGCAAGTCCTTTCTGCAGTGGCAGTAGCAGTAGAAGCAGCCGCCGCGTAAACGCCCTCATCCCTAAGAGGAAAGGAACTGAGAGAAGCAACGGTGGAGGGGGTAGTTGAAGGCGGGTCGGGAGCTCGGTTGGGTGGCTTGCACTGGGGTAAATCGACAAACCGCCGAGACACTTGAGGTTGGCGGAGTAGCCCGCAGCAGCCCACTTTGCCTGTTCCTGCGGTGTGCTGCCACTGCTGCTGTGGGAGCCCACCCGCGTGGAGTTCCCGTTTCCCCATCGTCGTTGTCGTTCTCCTTTTACTCCTGCTCACCCCCTTACACTGCTGCTATCCCCCTCCATACTCGGCCCTTTCACCCAGCTTACACGGCCACGCCATCGCCATCGTGCACTGCACAACGTAGTAGCATCGAGACCAGAAACTGACGGCAAAGAAGCAGCACAACTCCCCATCTGCCTGTTCACAGTCGCCATTCTCCATTGCATCGTTGTGCCGTTTCTACCGCCGCCTGCTTGCTCACCCGGCGCCCTGACAGCCGCGGCCTGCAGGCAGCGAATAGCCAACCACTACTCTATCCCCCCTCCCCGCGCTTCGTCCCGTTAGCCTGTCGTCCCCGCATCGCTTCTCCGTTTGCAGCTGCAGAGGCAACCCGCACTACCACCCCCCGCCGGCACGAACAACCGCGGCCGTTGCCGCCGCAGCCTCGTCCGCCGCCGCCGCCGTTACCACCACGACCACCGCCACCAGTAGTGCGACTGTCAGCGGCGGCGGTTGCGGCCGTCGCCGCTCCTGCGGCATCGACACTGGCATTCCAAGTGGAGGCGCTGCGAGACGCGCAAGCGGTACTCAGAGGGAAAGGAACGAGGAACAACATAGGGCTGGACCATCACTTCTACTACTTCTACCAGGACCATTGCGGCCGCTACTGCTGTTACCGTTATTCCGCACGCAACGCAGGGCGATGGCACGGCAGGCCGATGGCAGTCTGCCTAGCTGGCTCGCTGTCTGCTCGTCAGCCTGGTTGCTTTGCTGCGACTCAAGGCGGCGCGAAAGCGAGCAACCAAGGAAAGGAGAAGCAGGCCGATGGACCAGTCGCTCGCTCGGGGCGAGCGAAGTGCGAGAGGGCGAGGAACGAGCGGGGGAGCAACGGGTGAGCAACGCTGATTGCGAACAGCAGCCGGAGAGCCGCCACCGTCGACCTGCGAGACGACCAAGCTGGGGGCCATCGTCGGAGTGGTGCTGCTGCTGCTTTCTGCCAGCCACTAGCGGCCCTTCTGCCGTCGAGTAGAAAGAAGGGATCGCTTTCTACAGCTGTCTTTGCCCCTCACGCGCAGTCTGCTGCTGCTGCTGCGACGGTGGAGGGGCTGGTAGTAGTAGCGATGGCGAGTAGGAGAGCTCAAGTATGCGCTACCAGCGAACCAGTAGCAGCCGCAGAAGTGGCGACGGCGATGGCGGTGGTAGTAAGGTGAGGAAATGTACGTACCGTCGTTGAATCGTCGGGCTTGCTGAGAGCTTCGATGTTGAACGGCGTTTTCTTGGGCTTGCTTGGCTTGGTTGGCGTGGGGCAGCCAACGTCGTCCTTCCACGGCTGAAAGGTTTTTTCAGTTTTAGCAGGGGCTTTTGGTGCAGCCGCTGCCAGTTGTGCCTGTACCTGAGGCACCGGCTTCTGAGGTGACGATTGTGATACGTGCGGTTTGATGGTCGACCCCTGCGCAATACAACATCAGCAATGTCAGTAATAGTAATAATAACAGAAATATCGATAACAAAGGTCGTACTTGTTATTTGATCGAATAGCAGATGTGTGTTCGTTTGCTTGCCCTTCCTTACGACATAACAAATCATATTCGTTTCTTCTGTAAAAATGGTTATTATCTCCATGAGACTCACTTCTACGACGAAAGAGCTATTGTACAGCAAGAAGAAAGAATGATATATGAATGCGTTACCTTCAGAGACAACAACTTTGTTTGACTCGACTGATCTCCTAATGGATCATACGCAACAACAATAATAATCATCGTCACCTGCACTGTCGCTGCTACCGCCGTAATCAATAGTAGCACGGAAGTTGAAAATGCGACTAAGAGGAGCTTAAAACAAAAGCGAAGTCGTAAGTGCACACCTCATCGTTGCGGGGTAGCGCCGGCTCAAAGTTCCTCGTAGACCACAAATCCCCCAGTGGGTAGACGGATGGTACGAACGGGTTGCTAGTGTTGGTAAGAGCACCAGTCTGTGTCGACGGGGGCACTGCTGCCGCCGCAGCGGCCGCTGCCGCCGCCGCCGCCGCAGCGGCTGTTGCAGCCGTTACTCCCGGTACTCCAGCAGCCCCTGCAAGAGCTGCCTGTAGGCTCCTTGCTCGAAATACGGCGACAGGGTCGACGAGCGCGTGGCAGGAGAACATGAGCGCTGCCAGCTGCTTCTGCTGCTCGAGGAAAGCACTGCTTGTAGCGCTACCGTCACTGCCGCCACTGCTACAGCTAGTGGTAGTAGTAATGCTGCTGCTACTGTTGATGTTGGTGCTGCTGATGCTACCAGCTGCTGCTGCACCGGCCGCTACAGCCGTTACCGGCTGCTGGTTTAGTCCCAAAGGAGCTGTCTTGCTGCTGCAACTGCTGCTGTCAAAAGTTGAAGCCTTTAGCTCGGTAGCGGAGCCAGCGAGACCAGGCGCCCATTCGGGAAACGCAGAGCCGAGCATCGATGCAGCTAAAGCGCGTTGGTGGTCCAGCAGGTCCCGAGCTGCTGTCATTGGGCAGGACAGTGCGCCCAGCGGAGGCACTGCTAGAGGAGGAGTCTTCGACGATAAATCGAGCGGGAATGTAGATGCGCCTTCGGTAGGCCGTGCCGGTGACCGGGTTGCCCCAGCATTTCCCAGCGCGGCAAAAGGAGAGGCAAACGAATAATACATTCTCACGTATTATTATTGTTATTACTGTGGTTACCAAAAGAAGACAAGAATCTGCGTTCGTTCTTCCTCTACTCGTTTGCTCTTTCACTCCTTCGGTTTGAGGCTTTAGCAGGCCACTGCTGCTACTGCCGCCACCGATGACGCTGATGCTCACTACTATAGAGGAGCCACCCTTGTAGTTTTACTGTCTAATTATTGTTTCCTGAAAAAAAAAACAGCAACGTTTTGTTAGAAAGTCGCAATTTTTCCAGCGAATAATGACAAAGAGTCGTCGTCGTATACTCTACTTATTATCGTCTTCTAAGACAACATTCTACGAAACAACATTCAACGAAATCCAAAGCGGATGGATGCGGCGACGTTTACAATCGGGCTGGCTCTGTCTTTGCCCTATGTGCATCGGTACTCATTTGTCTGTTTTGTTTTGTCTCCCTATTCAACCATCTAAAATTTCCTTAGAGCAGCTAGCAGCCAGCCATTAGTATGTGATCATCGCCAAGGGCAACGGATAGCCGTTGCCGAAGCGAAAAGCTTAGCCGTTTTAACCTGTGGCTGCGAAGTGTCCTTTCCCGCTTGGTTAGGTAAACCACCGCCAGGACACCGTGTCTACGATACATTTATCACAGTGTTACCGGTTATGTCGAGTTGCCAGGCAATATCCATCGTCATCCGATCGGACAATAGCTAAGTATAGGCTACTTATTATATGGTGCATGTTAGAACGCTCGTTGTTGTGATGTAATCAGTATTTGTTGTTACTGCCATGTCCGGCATCAATTTGCTGCGAAGTTGGCGAGGATGATCAATTTACGATTTATTTTGATTCTTTCGGATAGGGAGTTCCGACAACTCAAACCTGCACCTATTTTTGCCAACTTTCATTCGAAACATATAGTCTCTACAAAGACATACAATTTCCTAACCCTATCACTTTCGGTTTCACACTCAAGCTTCCCTCGTTGGTCATTGGCGTCATCACCCAAGTCAACTCAGATTAGTAACAGCGGTTTACTCGTACAACTCAGCAGTGAGCCGTCTGTCGCGCGCTCTCCAGCGCATCGAATCAACCGAATGAAAGCCCAACCGACCAAAAGTCGAATCGTTGCGCCATCGTCTATAGCTATTGCCTACCAGCACCACTTAGCATAGAAAGAAAAAGATATGGAAATCGAGAGTTGGAGCTGAACGCCGGCCGAACTGTATGATGAGCACGAGCAGATCGGAGCGGGCTATTTACCCAGACAGTACCAGGACCGCCACTAGCAGCAATCGTCCTACGACTTCGTGCAGCCTTCTGGTAGTCATTGCCTGACTTACGACCGCTCGTTCGATCGTAGATTGAAGAGTCTAGAAAGCTGGTCTCAACGTTTGCTGCTTGCTGGCGGCTGCTATGTTAGCTTATAGCCTAGACAGGCCTGCTGACACAACGGGTGTGGTGGTCCTGGTGCCGAGTGAGGGACGATCAGATCTCTAGTGATCCCTGCTTGCTTCCCACCCCTTCGCGATACGATCCCCTTTACCCTCCCCTTGCTCTTTGACAATCTTCTCCCCTTCCTGGCACCACTGCTTCGCGCGTTCGCTTACTCCCTGCCTATCTGCAGCAGCAGCACGGCGGTGCCGACGGCGATAGTAGCGGCAGCAGCGCAGACGAATTCGATCGGCTTGGTCACAGTTCGGGCGGAGCAGGTAATCAGCCTTCAGCAGCCAGCTGCTATTTCCCGCTATGAAGCTATCCAAGCGCCGGAAGGGGATTGGGGTTGGTGGGGGTCTCAAAGGGTGCCGATGATGGCAGCCGTGCGGCGGCGATGGTGAGCAGTAGACGAGCAGCAAGGGACTCGCCATCACCGCTGATGTTAGTAAGGACCTCAACATAAGCGCGGTCATTGGCTAGGGAACACACACGATAACCTAAGAGTAGCAGGCGTTCGAGAAGAGGTCAACGGAGGACGTAGTCCGCATAGCATGCCAGTAACAATGAAAGAGGCATAAAAGCGAACACTACTAACTAATGTGGGAGCAGAAATTACATATTTCTCAGCTAGCAAAGAATACGGAAACAACAGAAAAAGTTATCGGTGACTGCATGATAAGACGACTAGGAACTTCGACCGAATCTATTTTACAGAAAAGGGTTGTTTACTCAGGTGCGATGAGGCCAGCTACCGTTAAATGAAAGTGCTACCAGGTGTCGATTCGTAATTGCCCTGCATCATTAAGACGACTACTCGTGGCCCAGAGGTAAAACAGAAGCAGTAGAAGCTTGACGGGATATGTGCGCTCCGATGGTCGTCAAGAATGCATGTGACCAAATCAAGGGCTAAAATGCCACCTGATTCCTCGCCTGACCGCCGAGTGCCCAGAGCAGAAAGCAGTCGGTGAGTGGGTACGGGATCGACAACGCGGGTCGAGATCGCTACTACGTGCCCGCCAATTACTTAACTTCCTCTCTGCTGGAGGCTGGAAGGAAGGCGGCAGCGGTGCTTTGGGGCCGAGTGGGGCTGACAGATCGCAGGAAGCACCGCCGTCGGCTGAGCTGGATTGATGCTCCTAGTATGGCCACAGCGTGCAATCAGTCGTCGCTATCTTTCGTTCGTTCGTGCTGTTGCCGTTGTTGCTTTTGACGTCATCGTCGCTGTCGTCGTTTGCGCTCACTGCGCGCCGGTAGCCAAACTCCGATCTGTCCAAGCGGACAGCGCTGCCGATAGCTCCACGTTCGGCCAAGCATTACGCCGCCGATGCCAGCCTTCAGACATCCTCTGTTCGGTCCTTTCGTGCAGTTCGAGGCAGGCCAGCCCTTCTCTCTCCACGTTTGATGTGTCCAATCCCCCATCGGCGTTTCCCTCACAAAACAAGCGCCAACCAGCGTGCCAACCAGCTCAGGACCGACGGGCTACCGAGCCAAGTATGGCATGGCACGCGGACGAGTAAGTGCCTATAGCAGGCGGCTACCCTTTACAGTAGTAGCGTGCCTCCCTTTGCCAAACTGATCCCCGGCCCGTTCTCCTGGTGACTTTCACAATCTACCACAGTCCGTGCTGCTGCTGCACTTGGTGTCATCTCTCGTGGCTCCCATTCGGTTCTTCCTCGAGTTGGAATTGCCACATGGAAGAACGCAAGGGCTCGTACCATCTAACGTTGCCTGCTTCGACGGAGCATCACCCGGATAGGCAAAACGCTCGAGCACAGCGCAGTGCCCATGGCCAGCTGCAGGGTCGAGGTTCGTTGGTTGGGTGGAGGCTGCGACGAGGACAACGAATGGGGCCGGGGGTCTGAAGAGCCGCTGAGAACGGCTGAGAGCAGCGGCAACTTGCAGTTCACCCCATTTCGCCCGCCTCTATAGAACCCCTTGCCTTTCCCCGTTACGTCAAAAGGAACCCCCGAGCAAAAGACGTATAATAGTAGCCTGGCACTAGTCAAGCACGCTGCACGCCGTGGAAGAGGGTGGACGAGAGACACGACACCGGCGGCTGCACAGTTGCGCACTGTCTGCGACTAGTCGGAGTACACACGGCCACAATAACGACGACAACGAGGCCAGCACCCGAGCAACCGGCCTCTTGTCCAGTCAGCCATCGCAGGCGGAGGGGGCCGGGGTCCGTTGCCTGCGGCGCTGCTGGCCGCCGGGAGAACAGAAGTAGCAGCAGCAGCACGAGATGGCCGGGGCAGTGACACAGCCTCATGAGCTGATTCCAAGGGGACCGCGTGTGGAGGAAGACAGTGACGATGACAAAGACAACGGAACACGACGGAACGGCGACGGCCTGACACCGCTACTGTTGCTGGTACACACGAAGACGACTACTACAACCTACTCCTATTACTACGATGGCCGAAAGGGGCGAAATAGGACAGTAGCTTAGCTGTGGATTTGACAAAGCCAAGCCATCTGGGGTTGCCATGCTGATAGTGTCGACGAGAACGATCCACACGTTGTACACGACCGTCCGGGTCCGAATAAAACGATTTTAAACGGCTCAGAGGACGAGGTTCAAAGTATAACGAAAGCTAAAAAACGAGTCTTCGTTTCAGATTGAGGATCTGAACGTGAGTTTCTAAGGAGCCTGGCATGCAATAAAATCCTATGTAAGAAAAATGCCGCAAAGTAGGCCACATGACGTGGAGAAAGGAAAAGCAATAAACAGTACAATTGGTCGTTTTGCGGCGAACACTGCTTAGGATAAATATAAATCGCTCATTCAAGGGCCCTAATTGAATTTTTGATTGAGCTTATAATTTTCCGCGGTCCTAATTATATGACGTTTTTAGGTTTACCACAAAGATGCTTCAATAGCTGCTGGTTTAGCCTCCGAAAAGTGTTTAAGCGTCAAATCAAAATGTAAAGTTACTAGTGGATCAATACGCTTTCAAGAGCAACTCACATTATCCATAGCGTTGTGCAGTTTGGCGCATACAATACCGCAACTACCATATATGTATGACACGTACGCACTAATGCTTACTGTTGACAATCTGGGGTCATCGTTTGCCGTTTGGCGAGAATGAGCAAACCGGGGTTTGAGAATGTGTCCTGGAGAGCTAAACTAAAAACATATATGAATCGGTTGCCGCTGGATAGACCCCTTTGTCGATGATCGGCTGGACAAGTTGGTTTCTTTGACGGAGCTGGGGATGAGCCGACGTTGCTGCTGCTGCTGCTGTTCGACAGAGTGGCGCAGCTGGCCACAATTAGAGCTTGTCTGCTCACTAAAAAGGACGATCATCTGCTCGCGCTCCCCCAATCGCCGTTCGTCTATGTTTCTCTACTCACACTTGCTCCCATCCGCCTTTCCTACGTATCCGCATCCCTCAGACGAGAACTCTACTGGCATCTATCGACAGGCTAGATCTCTCCACCCACCTCGCAGTGGCTGGCGAGCAGTAGAGGCATGCTCGAAGAGAGCATGAGTATTAGGGCGAATACGAAACGACCTCCGGTATTCCGACAAAGCCTCGTCCCATTGCATTGGGGACGACTCGACCGACTAGACGACCAACAATCCCTGTCGTCCCTTAGAGGGGATCATCGCGGGCCAACCACCGCCCCTCCCTCGTTGTTCTCCGTCATACCAGCTAGGTGCTGCTGACCTGAGGCTCTAGCGAACTCCGGTGGCTTTGGCCACCTTCTCCGAGCTCGCCCAGAGCCCAGAAGGCCCAGCGTGGCAACCAAGCGTGGCAGCAACGACCAACGCAACGTTGAGTGCAGCAGAATATGTGTCGGGGAGAAGGGCGAGAAGGGCATCGAGCCGAATGGGATGGACAGAGCAGCGGTGGGAGAACGGGGAGTGAACGGGGAGGTGAGTGGGGGCAAAGGCTGTGGCAGCATCGAAGGCAGCTCGGGGTGGTTCACATGCGGTGAGCGCACTTACTCGGCTTTTCCATATCCGACGACTCCCGCCTGCGTCTCTCAGCTTGTGCCCTTCGGCCGACGTCAGCCGGTGGTTTTTATGAAGGACGCCGTGCAACGGTGAAGCTATGGGTCGAGGCGCAGGAAAAGGCAGGGCCAGCCGACTCGCCTTTGGGCGTTTCTGGTAGGAAGCGAAGCCGAGCGGGAGGCACTCGGACACTCGTTCTGCTGGCAAAGCCGCCGCCGTTACTACCACCGCCCGCCTCTCGTTGTCCTGCTTGCCAGTTTGCCTGCCTGACTGGCTGGTTGGCTGGCTTCCTCTTGCGCCCCACGGCTTGAGTTGCGGCAGCAGCAGCGGCTTGAAGGCACTCGCAAAAGTCGCCAGTGGAGCTCGCTGCCAGGGTACCTGTAAAGGCAAACTCGAATACTCAGGTCCACTTTTTGTTCTGCGGCGGCAAGGTACCCTCGGGGATTAAGGAGAAGTGCCGCTCTGCCAAACAGTCTCGTCGTCAAAGTCTGGTGTGTGCCCATCTGGATCACGAGCGCAGATGCCACAGGACTGACGAACTCACACGTGACCAAAGGACATGCCCGAACACATACAGACAGATATATGAAAAAAAAAAAGGAAGAACATCTTACACGTTCAAGCCCTAAGAAACGGAGCCACCAGCAATATCCGATGGCGAAGATCTGAACAAGTTACTAGAGTATAATTTGTCGCTTACCTATTTTTTTCTCTCTTAAAGCCATTCACCGATTATTAGATATTGATCGATAGTGAAAATGCAGTTCTCAAGCAATACGCGCATCCTTTCAGTTCCTTATTTAGACGTAACTTATGAATTTGGGGTGATATTCATTGTCGTACATAAATCATTCAACATCAATTTCTAGAATCCGTTAGAAAGACCTAATTGAGTCCTCCAGTTTCTATGAGGCTCGTTGAGATGAGACGCTTAACAGACTCGCACCTTGACTGACGCATTACAATGCTCGTACAAGAATAGTAGTAGCTGAGTGCGCTGTAATGTTAGCCTAACCGAAAAGAACTTGAACTAGCCAGACGTTTCGCACAGTGTTAGCGGAAGGGAAGAAGGAAGCACCAAGCGGAAAGAGCGTCAAGGTACGAACCGAAATGCTTGCTCTGTTGAGCGCAGCGACCGATAATGAGGGTTAATCCCTTCGGTTTGGAAATACCGGAGGCATCGAAGAGACAACATCCCTAATTGAAGACGGTCGGTCGCTATCGGCGTCGATGCTGCAGACAGCAGAGAACATGCTGCTCTGCCACAGTTCTTCGTCCGATCGGCAAAGTAAGCGTAGAAGCGGGATGGCAGGGAGGCAGGCGGCCCCAAGGGTGCCGCTTACGCGGTCGAGTATGGTCAGCGAAGTCGGGAGAGTCTCTCCAATCGACTTGCCCCCCATCGGTGTACATTGCACAACGACGGCTATATACCGATCCTCTGTTCCCCTACGACTGCATCTGCGTATATAGGCCTACGTCAGTCTGCAGCTGCTCTCCATGCCCATATATATATATATATATATATATAGATATATATATATATAGATATATATATATAGATATATACATATATAGATATATATATATATATATATATATAGATATATATATGTACATATATGTGATCTCTTGTTCAGTTTCAGTCTATGCTTGATGGTCATCGCTATGAGCAAGCAAGCGGACCCCTCAAGTTGTCGCTCGTTCTATAACAGACACAAGAGTTGTGGGGCAGACGAGATGTAAGGCGAACGCTGCCTCTCTTCTTAGAAGAGCCGACAAACCGCCCTCCCACACCGGTCGTCTTCGTTGTCTCCTCTGACTCCCTTTTGTCCTTTTTGCCAGTTTCTTTC